TATAATAAAGGGTTACAAAAGACAATTTTTTTTGTAATGTAGCTAATTTTTCTATTGTATCCTGGCATCAAGCGAAGCAAGGAAAATAGAGGCTTAAAATTTCTTACTAGACTAGATGGAATCTTAATTATCTTCCCATCAAATTCGTGCTTGAGCTACTAGGAATTAATGTTTGCAGTAGTTTGTGTACATTGTTGATGTTAATGTTATGTATGGATAGATTATTTGGTGAACTTCCTTTCGTTTGTTATCTAGTCCTTTCAATTACCAAAACATGAAAAGGAAAGAAAAGTTCTGCAAATCATTAGTTAGTGTAAATACCGAGAAAGATCTAGTTCTCTAGAATGTTGGTTGTTGATTGTTGAAGATGATCCACTTTAGCCGGATAATAAAGTTGTTGAGTCACTTTTGGTTTAGAAGATCAAAGAATTAATATAAAGTAAGTTTATCAAGTTCTGCTGTGGTGTGTTAAATATTTTATGCTTTCTTACTTTGCTTGTGAAGGCAGTGTATGTTTTTACTGAAATCAATGTCTTTTAGGCTTTGAAGCAGCTACCCCGGGAGAAGGTTCAATTAGCTACTAAATTTGGTATTGTGAAATTGGATTCGAATAGTGTCATAATAAAAGGTACTCCGGAATATGTCCGTTCCTGTTGTGAGGCAAGCCTGAATCGTCTTGGCGTGGAATATATTGATCTTTATTACCAACACAGGATTGATACAACAGTACCAATAGAAGATACTGTAAGTGCTGGTCTACAAAGAATGACATTATTCATTGCATATTGCAAAAGGCTTTACTTTCCTCCTTGGTGTATGCTCATGTTTGCTGCTGATATAGTATTTTAGCTGTGTGCTTGTGGTAAACTAACCTATTATCATATATATATATTTTTCCCATTAGATGGGTGAACTTAAGAAGTTGGTGGAGGAAGGAAAAATCAAGTACATTGGTTTATCTGAGGCAAGCCCTGAAACCGTTAGGAGAGCTCATGCAGTTCATCCCATTACCGCTTTGCAAATAGAGTGGTCGCTCTGGACACGTGATATTGAGGAAGAAATTGTCCCACTTTGCAGGTATCTTCTGTTCACCTCCCTCTCCTCTGACTCAATTCCCCGGAATGTGTTATACTCTATCTTAGATTCTTATTTATGGACAAACTAACTATACCATTGATTTTGTTTGGAAAAATATATGTTATGTTGTTTGAGTAGCTCTATAAGCTCATGGTATTTGAAGTCTTTCATTCTATTTCTTGATGGAAAAGCTTGACACATGCCTTATGAATGTGCTCAAAAAGGGAACTAGGAATTGGGATAGTTCCATACAGCCCTCTTGGTCGTGGACTTTTTGGTGGCAAAGCTGTGGTAGAAAGTGTACCTGCAAATAGTTTTCTGGTATGCAGCTAATCTTTATCTTTATGACCTTAGCATATATATAAAATCTTGTAAAGCAAAGATCATATTAACTATTACATCCATTTTCATATTTCATCCTTTTTATCATTTAAATGTATGCTTGATTATAACTGATGGCCATCCTTTCCTTAAGCAAATCCATCCAAGGTTTCAAGGAGAGAACTTTGAAAAGAACAAGATCTTTTATTCACGCATAGAAAAATTGGCTAAAAAGCATGGATG